CACCACCACCACCCACCCCACAAGGTGCATAGGGTAAAAATGAACTTCCAGTTTAAAGTGCACAAACTCATACTGTGATATTCCCCAACGTTTAGCACCTTTTCACACACATACACACAGCCCGCCTTCCAAACCCTCATGCTGTCAACTGAATAACTTCCCGTAGAGTATCTGGGTCAGCGCGAATATAAGACGCTACGGGAAACGGGATTCTACATTATAATTATTATTCCGAGCACAATTGCTATCATACCCAGTCCAAGTCAAACCAGTTTCATATCGCAGGCTGTGGAACCCAGGGCAGACCATAGAGAGCGGCGTGAACCGGTGAGTAAACCGTTTCAGGTGAATTTTATTGGTCAACACGAATAATCAAGGATTTCAAGAAATATATTCGGGGGAATAAGCAGGCACTCTTCTCATATTACAACGTCTTAAAGATCAATATAAATCGTATTCATTTTAGAATTTGAGTAATAAAAAAAAAAGAAAACTACAGCAACAAACAAACGAAAAAAAAATCAGGGTAAACTTTAGTATTCCTTCCACTCACCACTCGACCCCCCCCCCCTAAACTAAACCACCCATCCTCACTATTTCCCCACATCAAGCGCACAAGGTTGAATTAAAGTGAGAATTTTTTTGACACTTGCAACACAAACAGGCCATACATACATGCACGTGCCGAATATACGTTTTTAGTTTCAGTAGAGTTTTACGTTCTTACTGCTGCCTTTCAGCCACACCCTTGATCTTCTGGTAGGAAAGATCTACACCTAGCCTTCTCGGATAAGGGCGAAAGATCTCGGAGGGCCCGTGTGCAAGTTGCGCACGTTAAAGATCCCTTTGTGGTTTAAAATCGATAAGAGTAGGCTTCGGCCGCCACCCGGGCAAAATTCAAAATTTCCTACCAAATGAAAATATTAGGTGAGTCCCGTGCGCTCATATGACCGTATGCAGTTGCGAGCGCCGTAAAACACTGTACAAAAACAAAAAAAAACAAAAGAGTTTTACGGCAATACAATAAGGTCAAATAAGAGCCCAAGATAAGAGATGTTCTAGAAACAAGGGCGTAACAGACACAAAAAGGAGGAGAAATAAGGACGACTGATGTTTGATAGGAGGAAAGAAGGAGAAAACCTCCACACCACAGCACACGCCAACCACCCACGACGAAGATTATGATGAATGTGTTGCCAGAGGGTAACAAAACAAAGAAAAAGAGTCGCGATAAAGATGGTAGATGTTAGATTAGTTGGGGATTTTTTTTTGGTGGAATTTGAAGGATCAAACCACACCTGCCAACACACATACTACGCATAAAACAAATCATCAAAATACTAAAACATACACAGATACAAACAAATACGGCAAACTTGTCACGGAAAGAAGACGAAAAAACTCAGTGTTACAACATGCCTCCTCCCCCCCCCCTCCCCCAACCCTGCTCTCCCCAAAGGGCACAACAGACGCAGAGCTCTCAAAAGGTCATGAGTAAAATACAAAACAGAAGCCAATCATAAACACATGTACATGTTCTCGTGCACGTGTTGGCATATTATATCACTAGGTCACAACAGAGATATATAATACACACAAATAATAAGTCTGCGGTATTCAGCGGGCAACATTCTAAAAGCTTTGATAGTTACTAGGTCTAGTAGAGGTAACGACCAACCTCCCAGACTGTGACAGTCTGCACACTGCACTTCTGAGTAGTATACGTACATGTTATTCACAAGTTTCGACAGTAAGTCAAGATAGCCTACGCCCTC